CCACACACCAGATGCTGATCGAGTGGATATTGCTGCAATTCACTTTGATAAGGATGTTGTACCATGGTTTCAAATGTTACAACGTCTTTCGGCAGTGAAAACATGGACAGAGTTGACAACTGCACTGGAGTCGCTGGAGTATCAATGAAATTTTTTCTCTCAAAGATCTTGGTACCTTGGACTACTTCTTGGGTATTGAAGTCAAGTCACTCTCTGACGGGCGGTTACTGTTATCTCAACAAAAATACATTTCTGATCTTCTTACCAAGGTAAAAATGGAAGACTCTAAGGGAATATCCACTCCTATGATTGGTGGTCAGCAACTTGCTAAAGCGGGAACCTTGTTTGATGATCCTACTTTGTATAGGTCTGTAGTTGGTGCATTGCAATATGCCACAATTACACGACCTGAGATTGCTTTTAGTGTTAATAAGGTGAGTCAGTTCATGTGCTCTCCAATGGAGGAACATTGGAAAGTGGTTAAAAGGATACTTAGGTATCTCAAAGGAACTATTAAACATGGTTTGGTGTTTGCTCCTGCTCGCTCAACTTCTTCCTTCAATCTTACAGCCTTTACTGATGCTGATTGGGCAGTTGATCCCAATGATAGGGGATCTACTTCGGCAGCCTGCATTTACCTTGGTCCTAATATGGTGTCTTGGTGGTCCAAGAAACAGTTGCTTGTTGCAAGGTCAAGCACTGAAGCTGAATATCGAGCTTTAGCTCAAGCAGTAACTGAGGTCTTGTGGATCCAATCCCTTCTAAAGGAACTGAAAGTTCACCTAAACACTCCTATAGTGCTTTGTGATAATCAAAGCACAGTAGCACTGTCTCACAATCCAATTCTACACTCAAGATCTAAGCATATGGAACTTGATATCTTTTTTGTTCGAGAAAAAGTCATCAGTAAAGCTCTTGTTGTCTCGCATGTCCCTGCTCAGCATCAATATGCAAATGTTTTAACCAAGGCACTGTCGCCCAAAAGATTTTTGTTTCTGTGTTCCAAGCTCAATGTTGCTGATCCATCTGCTATGTTTCATCCCCTTGAGCTTGTGGGGGGTGTATTAGAGAAGAGACTAGGATAATAAATACTTTTATTATTTTATTGTATTGATATTGTATATTTTCTGTTTTCTGTTAAGAGTTGCCAACTCATCAAGTTGGTTAGATTTGTTAGGTCTATATATGTAAGTGATATCTCACCAAGGTTATCGATGGCGAATAACAGTCTATGGCGGTGAGGCCAGAAATCCTTTATAACTCTATGGCGGATGCCATGGCAGACTATGGCGGACGTCATGGCGGACAAAAATAAAAATAAAAAAAAATATTTATATATATATTATATACAAAAAAATAAAAGGAGTGGGAACACTTATCTAATAAATACAAATTAATAAATAGAATGTACAAAGTTCTTTTGTAAACCAATATTAATTATAAATTTTACGTTTTTCTTATTGTAGTGAAATTTGAATTATTTTTGTAGTGACTAGTGATGATAAATAAGTTTTATCATAATCTCAAATAACAAAAGGATATTTCACCTTAAATTATTTACTTATTTAAATTTTCAAGGTCAAACCTTCAATTATAAATTAATTCAAATTTTCATTATTATGACCATAGATTAACATTTATCTTTATAAGGAATGATAATATAATAATAATTTGAGTTTAGGAAAATTAACAAAACTAAATTATAGTTAGAAATAATAAAAATATTTAAATTAAATGATTTAGAATATTTTTAATTATATAGAATTTAGTACAATATAATTTAGCAATGAGGTGTGTCTAAAAATATTAAACTACTTATATGCCAATTGTAAATATCATAAAATAATAAAACAACATAAATTAGTAATACATTATTGACTATTTAGAGTTAAAAGTATCATAGATTAAACGAGTGAATGAGATTAAAAACACTTCATTAAATAAATATACAAGATTTTTGTTTCTGTGTTCCAAGCTCAATGTTGCTGATCCATCTGCTATGTTTCATCCCCTTGAGCTTGTGGGGGGTGTATTAGAGAAGAGACTAGGATAATAAATACTTTTATTATTTTATTGTATTGATATTGTATATTTTCTGTTTTCTGTTAAGAGTTGCCAACTCATCAAGTTGGTTAGATTTGTTAGGTCTATATATGTAAGTGATATCTCACCAAGGTTATCGATGGCGAATAACAGTCTATGGCGGTGAGGCCAGAAATCCTTTATAACTCTATGGCGGATGCCATGGCAGACTATGGCGGACGTCATGGCGGACAAAAATAAAAATAAAAAAAAATATTTATATATATATTATATACAAAAAAAAACAGCAAAACAATAAATAACAAGCAACAAAACTAAATTAAAACCAATATAATATCAACTTAAATACTTAAATATCATAACAACAATACCATAACTCATTGTCTCATAACATAATTGATTAAAACACAACAAAAAACATAGAAAAACAAGAGTACAAGAAGCATTTTGCTAATCTAATCATCCTCCTCATCATCATCATTCTCCTCCTCTTCCTCAATGTAATCATTCTCTTCATTGAATGCCAAAGGGGCATAGCCTTCAACTTCTTCACCTTCTGAATTGTCAAAGTTAATATTTGGAAATTCTTCCTCTAACTCCTCACTAATATCTTCTGAATCTTCTTCAACAACTTCAACAACTTTTCCTTTTCCTTTCCTAGTTGAAGAAGACACTCCTTTGGCTTTTTTAGATGATGCTCCTTCCCCACTTGGAGGTTGCTTCCTTTTGTTACGCCTAGTATACATTAGAGGCTCTCCAACCCCTGAAGCATCATAAACTTGATTCCAAGTAAGTGGATCATTTCCACCAAAAACCCTCTCATCTAGAGCTTCAACTTCATCATCATCATCCCCATCCATCTCTCCAACCAGCCATTCATTACATTCATCAATATCATTAAGGCTAATGGGATCAACTTCATCCTTAAGGTTGTATCTTCGCATGAGTGCTTGATTATACTTAACATAGACCAAGTCATGTAATTTTTTATGATCAAGCCTATTTCTTCTCTTAGTATGAATTTGCAACATTAAATTAAATAATTAAGTAAACATTTTAAAATATTTGGAACTAATAAGACTCTTCAAAAGCAAATTAATTACTTGCTCAAAGACGCTCCAATTACGTTCACAACCGGATGAACTACAAGTCAAGCTCAATATCTTTATGGCTAGTTGTTGTAAATTGGGGGTTGATGAACCATAAAGTCTCCACCATTGAGCTATAAAGTCAAAAGAAAGTGTGTTAAATATGGAACAATTAGTAGAATAGAAGTTTAAAACTCAAGGTTTAGTTTCTAACCCGGTGAAACCTTTTTCCTCATTGCTATAGCAAGTTCAGTCCCAAACAATTCTCCTGCAACTTTATAAGTGTGTAGCTCCATCATGATTTTTTGCTCCACTTGCAAATCTCCTACCAACTTATTCATGCTTGCATAAAACCCTCTTATAATCTCACTATCAAATTCCATTTGAGGGTTGTCATAATACATCTCTGGATTCAAAAAATGACCAGCTGCATGTAATGGGCGATGAAGCTGAACATCCCATCTTCTATCAACAATTTCAAACACGGCTTTATATTTAGTCTCATTGTTATTGAAAGACTTCATAATAGCCTCCTTTGCCTTATCCATAGCTTCATATATATAGCCCATAGCTGGCTTTTTCTCACTATCAACAAGTCTGAGTACTTTTACAAGAGGTGCCATGACTTTAAGTATGTACACTACATTCCTCCAAAAAGAAGGCATCAAAACAGTTTTACATACTTCTCTTCCTTTTGCTTCCTTTGATAATTTGTTTGAATTCCACTCATCCGAAACAAACATCTTTCTTAAATTTGATTTTTCTTGGTGGATTCTTTCCAAAGAAAGAAAAGATGTTGCAAATCGAGTCACCGCATGTCTCACTAGCTCCCTTTTGTTTGTATAAAACCTTAACAAACTTAGGGTGCTTGAATGGCTATAAATGAAGCCAACAAGAGAAATTGCCCGTTGAATTGTTTTCTTGATATTTGGAAGCTTCCCAATATCCTCCAACATTAAATCTATGCAATGGGCTGCACATGGGGTCCAAAAAATTTTCTTCCTTTTTGCTTCCAACATCTTGCCAGCAAGAACATAATTACTCCCATTGTCCGTGATAACTTGGACAACTTTTTCCTCCCCAATATCCTCTACAATAGAGTCTAGTAATTCAAATAGCTTTTCTCCGGTCTTCACAAAATTAGACCCATCAACAGATTTAATGAACATTGTCCCTACAGAAGAGTTCACCAAAAAATTAATAATGCATCTTTGCTTCTTGTCCGTCCAAGCATCTGACATGATGGAACATCCAAAACTAGCCCAATGTTCCTTTTGACTCTTCATCAATTTTTCAGTATGCTCCATCTCTTTTTGGAGAAGTGGAACTCTTATATCATGATAAGATGGAGGTCGCAAATGTGGTCCAAAAGACCCAATAGCTGCAACCATGTCATGAAAGCTCTCCAATTTGATCATATTAAAAGATAGTCCAGCTTGATACCAAAACCGGGCTATATATTGGTGGACCCTTGCTGTAGCTTCCTTGTCACAACTCTCCCTTATACTTATTTGCTTCAATTTCTCCTTCTTGTTTTTTGCAATTGCTGTTTCCGGACATTTACAAAAAAGGTCAATAGGCCCCTTTTTCATCTCAACCTCCTTCCTTGTCACAACTCACCCTTATACTTATTTGCTTCAATTTCTCCTTCTTGTTTTTTGCAATTGCTGTTTCCGGACATTTACAAAAAAGGTCAATAGGCCCCTTTTTCATATCAACCTTCTTCCTTTCATTGGCCCCAAGTGTCTCAACTTCTAATTCTCTTAAATCTCCCTCCAATGTATCTTCACTACTGGTAACTAAAAAGTTATATGCGTTAATAGAAATTTAAGATCTGCTCTGACCAAAGAAGAAAAAAACTGTAAGAAATAAGAATTACTGGTAATATTTCTCTATGATATTCAAATAGGACTGAAGTCCTTTAAATACAGCAAGAAGGGCAGTGGAGCCCTACATTCTACCGGTAATAAAAGAAACAGCTCATCCTAAAGGATTTGGGCTACAGAACTTATTCAATATCTCTTAGCCAACTGGGCTGTTTCTTGGATCTTTTGGGCCTTTGTGTTGCTGAAGTTGGGTTGGGCTAAGCAACTTTGCAACAGTTCCTATCACTAGATCAAGGCAATAGTTGTTTGCTTCAGTCTGCTTTCAGTGTGTCTGGAAACATATTGTGAAGGCAGTAAAATCATGCTCATATTGTTTAAGACGTGAAAGCTTCAACAAGGAACTTCGACCTGGACACAAGAATTTAGGATTCGGATGCGTCACCAAACAAGCATTTTATTAGCATCACGTCTTGTCCATGAAATCTAACATCAAATCTCATGGCTCTTTATTTTTCAAATAAAAAAAAAATCTATTTCCTATTTCACATTTTTTAACTTCAAAGTTCGAAACAATATCTGACCCTTCTTTCCTATTCTAAAACCTTTTTGCACAGTACGGAAGGATTTATACTTTTACAACTGGTATTACATTACATTATTTTTGTACATTTCTTCAATAATACATGTATTGTATGAGGCCTTCCGTGCTCCTCCTCCTCCTGTTTGAATCAAGTTTACAAAACTCAAACCTGAGTTACATAAACGATTCAGGCATCCATGCCCACATCATCTTTGAATTTCTGCAATAACAAAAGAGGCAAAAGAAAGTTAGCCAACACAAGTTTGCAATTGAAGGAGTAGTTGCAGTATCCAACATAACTCACATTTGAGATATCCTTCCACTGGTTGAGAGTTTTGAGAGACTTTCCTGATTGTTGTGTTTCGCGCGCCACAGATACCCCTTCAGCTAGGTTCCTTACACGGCCACTGACCAAGAGAGCTGCTGCTGCATTGAGAATCTAACCATTTTTTTGTACAAAATAATCAAAATATGTCTTACGAGACTAGTGCATTCATAAGAAGTAAGACAAGGTTAAAAAAATATATCTTATGAGACAAGTGCATCATAAAGAGTGAGGCAAGTATCAAAATATTATGCAGGACATAATATGAATTTCGGTATTTCACAGAGAAAATTTGATATGAAAAGAACAAAAGAGAATATGCCCCTAAATGGATTTCAGTAAAATAGCACTGTTAAGCAACGAGAACTTCAACTTAGGGGTAGCGGAAAAGAATGAACACAAGTAGCTGCTGTTTCATCAACAGGACAACTTTGATTTGTTTAGATGCAAAATGTTCTATGCTGGAAGAAATATTAAAAAGACAAAAAGCTATCAAGGTAGGTTATTGACATGGTTCAATGGTATATTTCCTTTCTATCATTCAGAGCCATAAACCCAAAACAAAATATTTAGGTTAGAATCAAAATAATTTGCACAGATTTGAAAGTAACAGGGAAAACTTAAGATAGAACGGAACATATTTCATCTCAACCAAAAAATTTCATGAACTTCTAGCTAAATTTGTATTGAAAGCATCATTTATATGTTTCATTCAAAGGCCAGCATCTTCCCATTACTTGCAGAAAAATATCATCCTCTCAGATACTTAAAATATTTATAAAAAAGAAAAAACTAAACTAAACAAAAACAAAATAAGATACTCACTAAAGCATCTGCAATAGGCCCTCTCTCTCCACCTAGAACACGCTTCAGAACCTCTGCATTGTATTCTGGGCCACCACCTTTTAAGTTTTCAATATTACACCGAGGAATGCCAAACTCCACTGTTTCAATAAACAATCTGATATTAAATAAAAGATCCATTATGGCACTCAATTAGTAGCATGCAATCAAGATTAATTTACTTCATAACAGAAACTGATAAAACCATGCTTACAGGGATCAAATGAGAACTTATCAATCCTGTCTGGAGTAACATCAAGCACTAAACCAGGTCCTGCATGTAATGCAAACAAGAGGTCAAGAACTACCACACCAATCAGATTTAGCTCAGATTGGATAAAAATCAACAAGCACTTGTGCGTTGTAAGAGGAGAAAATAAGGAGGTAAAATGATCAAATTTCTCTTTAAAGTTAAATTATTCATCATAACCTTCCCAGAAAATCTCTCATCTAACTTTTTCAAAAGTTGAAGTACATGGATATTAACTTATAAGAGAAGTTTGATTTATTTTACCTCCCTAATTCTTCTCCTATAAGCTCTAAGGGAAAGTTTATCGAAACAAGACTTAGATACCAAAAATAATTTCAAGAGGCAAAACAAGCAGGAGTTCTTACCAAGAGGACTCATTTCATCCAAACCTTCAGAGTGGACAACTAAAGCTCTTTTCATGCCAAATCTATTGAGTGCTTTAGCCATTTTGAAGACCTATCCAGAAGACACAAATAACTTATCAGGGATGACATAGACGGAGAAAGGCAGAAACAGTTAGATCCTCAACCATTCAGCCTCTGTCTTTCTTTTTTCAAGGAAAAGATACAAAAGTAAGAAACAAAAGCAAATGTTTATGGAATAAGTTTATCAAAAAATACATAATCCATAATGTTTATTTTTCAAACATAATTCCCTGATAAAACATGTCAAAATCAATTTGTTGTACAATCTCTTCAGCAAAACAGGATGGTTCAAGGCAATTTAAAAGTTTTAATTTGAGCATAGAGACCTTTGGAAGGACATACATAAAAGATTGTGAAGGGAGAAAAAAAAAAAAAAAAAGAGCCAGAGATTGCATACGAATCTTTAACAAATAAAGAAGGGAAAAAAAAGAGACTAAAATAGGTTGATACTACAGAAAAGGGATGAAGTTGTCCATAGAATTTCAATGTATACCGATTGCTTCAAAATCCAACCTGCTTTCACAATTATCAATCTTCACACTGCAAACTTTAGCAAGTAACTTTCTATATATATATATATTTTTTTTTTTTACTTTCTTCATTAAATATTCAATCCTTAACTAAATCCTTGCTTGCAAAGATTACACTCATGTAAATAAAGAGTCTGCTTGGATATAAGTTAGATGTACTTTTGAGAACTTCTCTACCGGAAAATAAAGTGTATTTTTCAATAGAAAAACTCTCAAAAACACTTCTAAGCTTGAAAACAAACATGCTCATAGTGTGATAAGAAAGTAATTTCCAGTAAGATTATTTAAATACATTGCGAATCATATTTGTATGACAGAACTTACCAAGTCCTCAGTGTATACTCCAACAACCGCATAAGGTGCCTGTGCTGGATTCAACATTGGACCCAATATATTGAATACAGTTTTTATCTTTAGCTTCTTTCTTACGGGCCTAACAATCTTCATTGCCTGGTGATACTTTGGAGACATCATAAACCCAATTCCAGCTTCATTCACACACTTCTTTACCCCCTGATTCAAATGAACAGAAAAACCAATCACCAAACACACCGATCTATGAAAATTTCTACCCAATAAATTCTATTAATGGAACACAAACATAAAAATATACAGTTAACATACATAAAAAATGTATTCAGTAAACGTTGTTTACATTAGAACTTAACTAGCTAGCCTCCTGTATATATGAAGGCAAAATATACAACGAGCTCACCACTATTATTTTCTACAACCCTTGTAAACAGACACTCGTTATTCTTCCATCTCATATCTACTCTTTTCATTTAATCCCCATCTTCTTTTCTCATCACATCACTTATATATCACATATATTGCTTTCTCTTACTACCTTTTGTTTTTTCTTCTTATCCCTCTCTTCTTTCCACTCCAAAATAGGGTGTCCGTTTGTAATTTTCCTATTTTATACAATTAACCAGAAATACACTTTAGTATTAGTTTATGTTTGAAACCAAATCTACAACGCAGATCACCACTCTCTCCACATCACGAAAAGTAACAAGAAGTAGCTTCTGAATCAACTGAACTTGTTATTTGCTTGGCGTGATTTTTCCAATTGACGAGTGTTTGGATTGGTAGAGAGTTGAACTCACTCTTAGGATGATTTTTGGAAGCAACAAATAGTTGTATTTTGTCGTGAACTCATCATGTTTTTTATCTATTTGTTGCTTCCAGAAATCATCAAAAGAGTGAGTTCAACTCAAAACCGATCCAAATACACACAGATCGAGTCCAAATACACACAGATCGAGTATGCAATTCTAACCAAGCTGTTAGACAATCTGCATTTCATTTAATAGCAATATCAACGTAATTTGCACAAACCTGAGGACCCAAGTCAATAACCACTCCCAATGCTTCTAACACGTCAGCACTTCCACACGCAGAAGAACTGGAACGGTTCCCTTGCTGCACAAACACAGATTTTCAATCACATGACTTCAATTCAACTCACACCACAATGCACACAACCCATCAACAACACGAACCTTGGCAACTTTGGCACCGCACGCCGCCGCGAGAATCGAAGCCCCGGTTGAAATATTAACCGTGTTGGCACCGTCCCCTCCGGTTCCCACAATGTCAACCACATCGACCAAACCCTCAACCTTCGTCGCATGCTTGAGCATCGCCCTCGCCAACCCCACAACCTACGCATCCACAAAAAAAAAAAAAAAAAATTCAAAATTTTCAATCACGACAGCGTCAATTTCAGAACTAAAAATGTTAAACCTTACTTCTTCATAAGTCTCTCCCTTGGCTCTGAGAAGCACGAGAACGGCGCTAATCAACGCCTCGTTGGCCTCGTTCAGCAGCAAGTCGAGACACGCCTCGGATTCCTCCTCCGATAAATCGACGCCGCCGATTAGCGACTCAATCAGCTGCCACCGCGTTTCGTAATCCTGATCAATAAAATAAAAGCAGCGAAGAACGAAAATAAAAAAAAATAAAAAAAATAGCGAGAAATTGACCTCGGTGAGGGAGCGAAGGGAGGTAGGTGCATTGGGCGAAACGGCGAGGTTAGCGGCGGAAATGGCGGTGGTGGTGTGAGAGAGGAGAGGAATTGGGCGGGAAACGAAACGGCGTGGTTGGAGGTTGAGGGAGGGAATGGGAGGAGTGAAGGGAGTGAAGAGAGGCTGCGCCATGATTAGGTGGAGGTGGAGTCAATAAGATTGTTATAATTTGGGTTTTTATATTGACTTAGAGTACCAAACCATAGCCTATGTTTAGCTTTGAATACCTGTGTTACCCGTTGTTCGATGCAACAACAACCCCCAACCCATCACAAAATTCATGAATTTCAATTCAATTACACTTTCAACGTAAATAGATATGTACGTACCGTCTATTTCTGTATCTTATCCATATACCTATTCTATCATTGCCTTTTCCAATAAATGTAAACATATATATATATATATATATATAGATAGTGTATATTAGTTTTTTTTTTTTTTTTTT